GGGGGTATTCAAGGGTTTGGGGGGAAGGCAGCGGTTGAACAGTTTCACGAACTGTTCTCCCACCCTCTCTCTCTCTCTCTCTCTCTCTCTCTCTCTCTCTCTACTGCGCCAAGAAATGCCGCACGCCGACCAACGAGAGCGCCCGCCTAGAGCAGCACCACACGCCTCAACTCTCTCTCTTTGTCTCTCGCTCTCTCTCTTTGTCTCTCGCTCTCTCTCTCTTTGTCTCTCTCTCTTTCTCTCTCTATCTCTCTCTACCTTGCCAAGAAATGTTGCGCGCCCACCAAATAGTGCATGTCTCGTAACAAACAACGTAAAGAAGAAGAAGAAGAACTATGCACTGGAAGAAGAAGAAGTACTACGAACACGAAGAAGGAAAAATAGAAGAAAAGGGAAAAATAGAAGAAGAAAAAGAAAAACTAGAAGAAGAAGAAGAAGAAGAAGAAGAAGAAGAAGAAGAAGAAGTACATGTGGCGCGTTGGCGGAGGGGGCTTGTTGCACAGGCGACGGGCGACGATGATGGTGCTAACGACGATGATGGAGGCAACGACGACGACGGCTTTAACGACGGGTGACGGGCGAGATGTGCTACGGGCGATGGGGAGGGCGGACAATGGCTTAGGCAGCGGGAGGGCATTGGCGGGGGGGCTATGTTGCACGGGCAACGGGCGACAATGATGGTGCTGACGACGATGATGGAGGCAACGACGACGACGACTTTGACGACGGGTGATGGGCGATGGGCTACGGGCGATGGGGAGGGCGGACAATGGCTTAGGCAGCGGGAGGCATTGGCGGGGGGGCTATGTTGCACGGGCGACGGGCCACGATGATGGTGCTGACGACGATGATGGGGGCAACGACGACGACGACTTTGATGACGGGTGACGGACGATGCGCTACGGGCGATGGGGAGGGCGAACAATGGCTTAGGCAGCGGGAGGGCATAGGCGGGAGGGAACGGGAGGTAAGTGGGGGGAGGCGGGAATGCAGCCGGTAGGCCGTCATGCAGGGGCTGGGCCAGTGGTTCCCGCTTCCACGATTTGAAAAGGGCGGCCTTATCTGGGTTGCCGATCTTTCGAGATTAGCTATCTAGATAGGTCGTCCTTTTCAGGCGTCTTGGGCGGGCCTACCGGACCCGGCTCAATTTTTTTAGGGGGCAGGAGGCCGCCACAACCTGCATGGGGGCCTCCTGCCCAGAAAAAAAATTGAAACCGGCCCCTCACCCGCGATGCGCTACATTGGACTAGGGGGGAACCAACCCAGTCGACCGGCCCGGTTCCGATTGGGGGAGGGCCGCCCGGTCGGACCGGGTTTACAACACTGAATGGGACAAAGATTGCACGTCCGCTTTGAAGAAATTATTAATCGACTACCCGGTCTCAAAAATAGCAGATTCGTCACTTCCGTTTATTGGAACTATGGACGTGAGCCAATGTGGCATTGGTGCAGTCCTACAACAAAATGATTGCAATGGATACAGGCTGGTCGAGTTCATGTTGTGTGGGCTGCTGTGTGAGAAGGTTGTTGCATCAACCTATGAGTGAGAGCTATTCGCGTTGAGGGAAACCGAGCCCATTAGAGACACTACCTACTAGGACGACAGTTCAAGGTATATTTTGACCGTGAGACCTTGCCTTGGCTGAATACTCCGGGGCGGATGTGCACAAAGTTAGCTAGGCGGGCCACTGAGATCGATGAGTTCGACTTCGAACTCAAGCCTGTGAAAGGCAAGCATAATGTCGTCGCTGATGCACTTAGTCGACGCGCAGGCTAATTTGCAGCTATAGTTACCGATTTTAACGAAGGTGCCGAACTGCAGCTGAAAATTCGAAATACGTAGGAGGACGATAAAGTCTATAGTGAGATTCTTTGCAAGGTGCAGACTGCACCTCACGAGGAACCTGATTATAGGATGACCGGTGGGTTGCTGTTTGAAAAGATAGGCAAGGACGAGAGGTTTTGTGTTCCGAAAAGCAAAGAGATTTGCAGTCTTGTACTAGGGGAATGCCATGATTCAAAGGGCCACTTCGGGTGGAGGAAACCTGTGCCAACCTCCTACGGGTCGAAACTCATTATGTCGTCAGGTAGACATCCCGAGACTAACGGACAGATGGAGCATATGAATAAACTATTACATCAAGTGTTTTGCATGTACATTAGACCAGATCAGGTAGATTGGGACGAACTTCTACCCAAGGTAGCTAGTCCCTACAATAATTCTGTTCATCTAACAACTAACCGGACACCAAATGATTTGCACAAACCTGTCATGTGGAAGCTTTCCTGTTGTTCCGGAAAGGAATTTCCCTCATCCATTGCATATGCATTGTGGCTTCTTCAGGGATGTCCTAATAGGTCATTGTCTGTGAGCTAATGATTTTTTATGCATTTCCAAGATGTGAAACGGTTTTCACCTGTAACGGTGACAGATGCAGCACCCAGGGCTCGATCCCTAGACCCCTCCCTTTAACCATGTACAGAACCCGTTGACCCGTGTGTTTGAACCCGCGACCTGTCCCCTGAAAGTCATATGTTCAACTGTTGTAAATAGTGCGGTCGCCGGGGGTTTGACCCGTAGACCTTAGTGTTAGCAGTCCTAGGGTCAGCATAGGTCGTAGTAGCTGGAGCTCCGAAAGGTCAAGTCCACGACCTTCTGGAAGCTCCGGAAGTGGCTCTTCGTAGGTCGTAGGAGTCAGTCAGCGGCTGAGTCAGCAAACGGTCGTCCTAGTCAGCGGTACCCAGTCCCAGGTCACACTTCGTCCAGTAAGCAAGTGCCATGTGGAACTGTGTGCACCCTTGGCCCAGGTCCAAAGGCAGACCCACGACGATCCGAAGTATAAGTAAAGAGGCAGCGTCAAGTCATTCATTCATTCTGCCTGTGAGCCGTGCGGAAGCGCTGTCGGAGTGTCTTGTGCTACGGAGGTCTGCAGGTGCCCGAAGAAGAAGAGGGCTAAGAGGAGGAAGACGGCAGCCATAGCTGGCTGTAGGTTAGTGTTAGGAAGTGTGTCAGTGTGTCGAGTGTGTGTGCGCGGGACATCCACGGTGATCCGAGAGTGAGAGTGTGCGTGCGAATAAGTTGCTGGAGGATACAGTTGATCGGGTGGGAATCGTTGTCTGGCGCCCAGCACCATAGCCATCAAGACAAGTTTGAATCTGAGCTGTGTTCCTGGCCACGTTATCTCTGAGCTTTGTGTGGGCGCTATTGCACCATAGTCTGATCGTCATCTGTTTGCATGCATGCTGAGCGTGAAGAAGACAAGTCTGATTGTAGATGAAGTCTCAGATGACGTTTTGGCTTGAGAAAAGGTGTGTAAAATTTTTCACATGTTTACAACCTTAGCAAAATCACAATCCCTTCTCTCATTTGTGTTCCACTTCTGTCTATATCTTCCTCCATCCCACTTCTTCACCTGCTCCTTGTTTCTCTCCCTTGCTGTCTCTCATCTGCCTTTCGCTTATTGCCTGTCCTCTGTTTCTTTCATCCTCTTGTTTTTAGATCTCATTGTCATTGCTCACTTGCTATATTTTAATTGAATAATGTTCTAGGCTGTGCGCCGTCGCCGTATGAGAGAAGGGATCCATGAACGGCAGCAGCGGAGTGAATCTAGGCATGAGGCATACCTACTACGCATTGCGAAACGAGCTGGGGATGAGAGCAGTAAGGTGAGGAATCATTCTCTTCCCTTTCCTCAACTGCAGTTCCACAAGTCAATGTCCTGCTCTCTGCAGCATTCGGTGCTGAACTGCTGGTGATATAGTGTTTTAGGATGTCAAGAAACTGTGTACGGCTTAGCATATGAGGTCAGTATCCAGGTAATGGCTGTTGGCTTGCAGCAAATGGACCAAAATAGGAGTCCATTTTTCTCTGTTGAACTGGTTGTTCCTATTCATTCTATCCTATTGCTGCTTTATCCTTGGAGGCTACAGACTATGCAGGGTTGCCCTGGTTGATGTTCTTTGTTGATTTACACCCTGGTCTGACTGAGCTCCAGTTCTACGATGAGGCTGTCACGTTGGAGGACATACAGTAATTCATGAAAATACTAAAATAGGTTAAACTAGCGTTATGAGCGCATGAACTACGATTTAGTGCCATGGAACTTTCAAGATCACAGCCTGGAGGGTAACACATTTGCTGCAGTTCCCCTATTCCTTGCGGCTGAGGCTAGTCATTGTGGTCAGAATATCTCTGAAGTACCTATTTCTCACTACATTGTAACATTCTTATATTAAAAGAAAAGATGCCCAAAACCAGAATCTAATTATGCTGTTGACACTGTTTCTCACTCCAAACTGTAAAGACATGCAAAGCTTGACGGCAGTGTTTCTTCTCCAAACTAACTATGCTGTTGGCACTGTTTCTGCTCCAAACTGTAAAGATATGCAAAGCTTGACAGCACGCTAACAAGTCTCCAAATACCTTTACTCTCTGGGCATGAGAACGTTTGCCCGAGGTATTGCCTGTACTGTAAGGAGACTCTCACTCATACACCATCCATGTCCATGTGAGCGTGCAGATGCGGAAGTCACTCCAAACGCAGGAGAATCAGGTCTGTCGTCTTCAACAAAAATCGTTGCACCAGTCTCACAAGCAATTTGCAGAATTTCAATAGCCAGATACCACAAACCTGACACGGAATTACAGATGATGCAGCTATGTTGGGTCGGCTACACACTTTGCCCACACACTTGCAACTTTGAGATAACAGGCCAGGCATGACTCCTCAAAAGGTGGCCTGCAGAAAGGGGACTAGGTGAAGCGAAAGGGGGAGCTTCGCCCATGCACGGTGTATAGAATCGAGGGGCCACAGGAAGCAGGGCTACAACAAGCCACAGAATGGTTAGTGAGGCCAGGCTATGAGGGCCTAGGCTGGCCATTGTTGGGGATGGATGAGGAGGGATTGCCTCGCAGATGTCTGATCAACCCTCAACCTTGGAGACAGTGTCGTTGGGTAAGGGAGGCAAGAGAAGTGAGGATGTATACCTATCCATTCGGCCTCAGTGAGACCAGAAGACAATTGGTGTCGGATCCCCAAGAATGGTTCCTCCCCCCCCAAAATCATAATATGAAGAGTTTCCTGCTCTGGGAGCAAGATATAGCCGAGGGACTCAGAGACAGCGGAATGGATCGCACTGGCATTGATCCCTAGATGGATGCATCGGAAATGGCAGAAACAGTGCACGATTCTGAAGACCCTGCCTGACCAGAAGCAGGCTGAACTGTTATGGCAGATTTTTCACCTAGCCGTCCCCATGGCACAGTGGCTGGCAACGAAGAGTCGACACGCTCTGCTCTGCCCTGGGATGCGGCCAGACAGAATCTTTCCCTCATCTCTTTCTACACTGCCCAGTGGTCGTGGACTTTTGGAGATGGTGGGCGGCAGCTATGTTGGAGCCCTCCCCATGGACCATAACTGAGGATGCTGCTGCTGCTATCCTGCTAGGGACATTAATGGTGGTGGACAGCGAGAACAAACAGAAACTTTACGCAGCAGAAATGGTTAGGGGCACAGTGCTATGGGCGATATGGACGCTGCGTAAAGCGAATCCGTCAGGGCAAAGAAGTCACCATGCAGGGGATAAGAAGCAGAGCAATGGAAAACCTGGTGGCTATGCTCGCTGACTTGCTGAGACAGAAACGGAAGCCGGGGAATGATCTCTTCAAATTCTGGAGAACCTGGGGGGAGTACCTGACTCTGGCGAAGAAGGACCCACTGTTGGGTAGCTTTGTCTTCGGGACCCTGCTTCAGAAATATGCCCCAGATTGGGATGAGTATGGCCGAGAGCTACGAGAGGGGGGGACCCAAGTGCTGACGGGTCAAATCCGGGTCACGTTCTCAGAGATCAGTGTATTATAGTTAGACACGACTTCGGTAGCTACGAGGGAGGGCCGGCATAGGTGGAACACTAGTAGCAGGGAGGAAGATAGGGAATGGAGCCGGCTGTAGCAGTGGGAGGGTTTGTGACAGGGAGATTGGGATAGGGAAGGATGTGTGAAAATAAACAAACAGGGACGTTGCAAGCGGCGATGCTCAAACGAAAGCGAAAGGGGAAGTGAAAGGATCATGAGCGCCACTGGATTCAAGGCTTTTTGAACTAAAATACCCCATTAAATGGTGAGGTGGGGGATAGGCAGAGGTATATGGGAGATAGTAGAGGTAAGCGCATTGCATTAGCAGGGTAGACATTGAATACAAAATAGTGGAAGGAAAATGAGCAATAGCGAACTGACAAAGTTCCAGAATGCAAAATCACATTGAAAGCCAGAAATCGGAACGCTGTCCAGAAAGCAGAGATGCACTGATATTCCACCAATGGAGAACCAAAGCTCTGAATCCAAATGTCAATGAGAGCATACTCTCGCCACCACACGTATGTTATCCTACTTGGCACTCAATGCCCAGACTACAATCACACAACTACTACCCAGCCTACAAATTGCCAATGCAACCAATTGACGTTAGCAGCAACAACCGAAGTACATGAAGATGTTGACCCTGTAGATCATCACCAAGACCAGGTGTGTGCCCTCACATCATCATCCTCATCTCTCTCTCTCTCTCTCTCTCTCTCTCTC